GCTCAACCCAACGCATCTGATCTTGGAGAGTACCTGCAGCCATTTCATCTCAATATCCCTCTACTTGCAGAGATGTTTGAAACTGACGTTTACGCATTTGATTACTCTGGGTATTTCTTCAGTGATAAAAAACGAAGTTGAGAAATTTCAAGGAAAAAGAAAAAGTTCCAGATTTGGGTACTCTACCGGAACGGTGTCGGAAAGAAACATTTACGCAGATATTCGCGCTGTGTTCGATTATATTCGCGCAACCCGACCAGAGAAAAAGGTTCTAAGAAAGAAGAGAAACTAGAAAAGTTCTATGACTCATTTTTTCAGATAGTTTTACTTGGTTATAGCATCGGTACAGCGGCTGTTGCCGATTTGGCTGCAAGCAGGCCAGAAGGACTAGTTGGCGTAGTAATGGTTGCTCCTTTTACAAGTGGACTACGTCTCTTTGGAAGGAAACCTGGAGAGCCAAACACCAGCAAACTCGATAGATTCGTGACGTATGTTTGAAAAGCCTTGTTCATGTTTCAAAACTCAAAACCTAAAAGCTCCAAAACTCCAGGTACGACAAGGTATCCAAAATCGTCGTTCCAGTACTTGTTTGCCATGGAGGCTGTGATGAAGCTATACCGGTGGAACATGGTTTGGAAATTGTAAAGAGAGCCCCCCGTGCTGTCACACCTTTGATAATCCGTGGAGCAGATCACATGTCCATATTTAATGGGAAATATTTGCGGACATTTAGAAGAATCAGAAAGTGAGCGCATCTTTTATCACCTTGGTGCAATAATAAGTCTAGCTTGCAACTCTATTCTTTCAGATTTATGGATGAAGAAGTTGATATTCCAGGTAATACTCGTACATATTCGAATGAAGGTGATACCCATTCGACAGGATGACTAAAAATTTGACCATAATACTCGTAAACAAAAACAATAAACTTTAAATGGCATTTTCTGCAGCTTGTTCCACTCACATTTTTGCCTCATTTAGTAAATCACATATTTATATAACACAACACCGACTTAACACAAACATCTTTATTTAATAATTCCACTGATAGACTGGCAAAGGAACGCGAGAAGAGTCGCCGGTTTGCCTGGAATACGTTCAATTTCAGGTTAGATACCGACAACTACAAAATCAAGGTTTGCAACTGGCAGTAAGTTGTCGATAGCTCAACAGGCATTGATAAGTTCCCAAATCAATCGAGGTCAAGTGGCCTCGAGCGTTTTGCCAAAAAATTATAGCAGTTTTCCGAGCTTGTTTTTGAAAAAAAACAAAGCGGCGTCAAGTTGGATGCAAATGAAAATGCCATTGTCTTACGCTCTATCCATTCATTTACGATTAGAGGACTTGTAATTTCTGGAAGACTCCGGATCAGTCAAGCAGATGCCTGCCTAACCATGAAATTGGTCAATTTATCGCGCTGCGAAAAAAGGTCTCTAAGCATGTAAAATAAAAGGATTTACTTTGCTTTTGAGGTTCAGCAGTGCTTAATCGTGAAATCTTAATTTTTAAAAGGATGCTTATGCAAAATTAAGCAAAAAAAA